CAGGGCTGTACCAACATGGATAACAATTATTACAAGAAGACACAAGGGGAACAAATAGATCAAAGCATTCATTTAGTTTTTTATAAAAAAATTTCTACAGCATGATCTACTGACGCGGTATTCATAAGTAACTCATTCCAATCAACTTTATTCAAAAAATCATTGATGATTGTATAATTACATTTACGGAAATTATACTTCGGTTGAGATTTCTCTTTTAAAGGTTTAATGGAGAGATCAGGGACTTCAACCATGAATGGAGGATGAAAATCATCCAATCTGGAAAGAGGATCCGATTTATTTATTTCTAAGTGTAAATTTGAAAAACACAAGTCAAGGACATTATTACAACGATTTTGAATAAAATTAAATTGATTCAAACCTAAAAAACTAAGATCCTCGGCCAAGGTATTAGCAGCTACCTGAACCCCATATTTGCCAATCGGTATTAATGACCAACCATCAGCATTCCATGTTAAACAAGGCAAATTATAATCACCAATAATCATAAAGAAGTCCGAATGTGACGTTTGATAAAAACGCTCAAAACTGATTCTAAATTCATTAATATACTCAGCTAATTTACCTTCATCTGGTGGTATATAAACTAGTATAATATTTAAGTTGTATTGTGAGCTGAGAGATCGGGCTGGTAAGCTGACACATATAGATTCAATATAATTACAACTCCAATCTACACGCTTAGTCGCACCTAGTTCACGACGGGTACAAATCATTACACCTCCACCTGAACTTTTATTCGTAGCCACCAAGTCCCTGTCACAACGGAATATATCAAACCTCCCATCACATAATTCGTTATCAAATATATCATCTTGCAACCAAGTTTCAGTGAGGAGTATAACATTATAATTACATGATAGTATATTATTATATAAGTCCAGGCATTTTGTACGGAGACCACGTACGTTCTGATAAAATATATTTAATTTCCTATCCATAGACACCATTAAGGAGTGAATATGAATCTATAAAGTTTTTTTAATAACTTCCCGTACAACCAGCACGGTGCAAACAGTAAATAAAGACAGTGAGCAGTGAAAGTAAACCCAAGAGTACGTTTTTGTATACAGCATAAATAAGTAACAGCCTCACAACAATTACAGTAGTGTATTACCTTAGAGACGGCCAAATCGTGGATACGAATGGATATGGCGGATACGGTGGACACATATGGCGGCAGTGATGATATGATTCCTACGATGCGGTAAATTATAATAGTTAAAAGAGTTTTACAAAATATGTTTTGTATACACCTATATTTAGGTAGCAATACACACAATAACGTTATGAGGCATGTTCTATATAAACGTTTTAAGGACTTTATATAAATAAATGAAAAAAATACTTTATACAATAGTACGTATAAATAAACATATAATCTTATTGTTATACATACATACATATTGATATTATTGATAACAACTAAATAATAATGCTTACCTAGATAAATATAGCCTAACTTTGTGCACAACACAGTATGTTTAAATATAATATATAAGTACTGGTAGATGCAAATTACGATTAGATTAAAACGTACAAATAGTCAAACAATTTTTAAAATATCCGAGCTGTCTTTAATACGTAAAGAGTGAGTGGTATCGTTTTTCCTGACGAATATTTTACCATCACGAACCCACAAATATTGGTATAGGGCGGACTTCATTTTTAATTTAGTATTTTTAAGAAGTAGTTTGTTAGACGGTGTTAAGTGTTCATTTACATATATTTTGGACCCCTCGTCAGGAAAGCCGATGTCACAAAGTCTAAGTCCTTTTTTAGCACGCACCGCAGCAAGGATTGAATCGCGTAGCAAACGGGAACTCAGCTTCACTACGATTGCTTTAGGACGACCGGGAACCACCTTAAACGGACGAATCCTCGATATGTGAATTACGTCATTTGCCGATACTTCGATTCCCAGGAAATTAGTTAAGTTACTAAAATGCAATAACAAATCCTCTCGTGTTTTTTCAGGGATTCCAGTAATCTCTAGGTTGTTGAGTCTAGCTTGTTGTTCAACTTCGTCCATTTTGATCTCAAGGGATCGAACTTGTGTGGACAGTTCTGTAGATTGAGAAGTGACACTCTCACATGCTTGCAATCGACTCTCAAATAAATCCAGCCTTTGTATGGACGTGCTAAGAGATATTTCCATTTCGGATAAACGTGAGTTGGTTTCAGAGAGTGATTTATTAATTTTAGAGTTATCCTCAGTAAGTTTTTGTAAGGTTAAATTTATTTCACACAAGTTCGAAGTAACGTGTGATAGTTGTTCGGTAATTGCAGAGTTGACGGCGGTTGTAATACAGTTAGTAATGCTGTCATTCAAAAGTTTCATTTGCTGTTCCATCCTTTGCTCAAAAATTGCAAACATTCCATGATGTTCGCATTCCATTTGTTTCCTTTTACGCGAGTTAACGTAAGATTCCATATCTACCGACATATTAGATAAATCGGGGGTTCGAGGAGACTTTGAGCGGAGATGCGCGTTGCGAGTTGTTCATTGATTACGACGACACAACAAATTACACGATGAGTAGGACCGGGACGAAAAATAGCAGTCAGACTCTTCACGCGGGGGTGAGGCGCCCCTCAGTTATGACCACGAGCAGCGGAGCGAGAACGAAATCGAAACAGTGGCAAAAAAAATTTTTAAATTGCACTGCACTTTACGCACACAGTATTAGCGGTAATCGTTATTGCAACTAGGGTGATTATAACATGCACATTATAGACTAATTATCGCAGAAAGTTGTACACAACTGTTCACAAAGGCAGTCACGGTAGTAAGGATACTACACTGGTAATAAGTACATAACTGATCAAATGAAACACAATTCTATTAAATACTTATTGTTGCAGCATCAAAAATTGTCAGACCTAAAATATCCCGACTGGTGGCCACTGCCCGCATGATTCGTCATAATTGTCAATTTAGCAAAATTACTTTCATACTTTAATTGCAATGAGAAGTTTCGATTTACCACATTCTCAGTGGTGAAGAAAAACATCACTAGGAAACCCGCATAGAGAAGTTAAAACAATGATTTGGAAATCATTTTTAGGTATAGGTATGTGAAGTCGTTCATTTCGCATTGGAGTCAACTCAATCAACACCTTTTTGACCTAAAACTTGCAGCGGCCTGTGCCCAGTAGTGGGATGTATACAGGCTGCTACTTTTTGCTTTTAATAGGGCTATCCACTGCTGATCACAGGCTTCGACCATTGTTTGTCAAATGGACTGAATATTCACGGTTGGCAAGTGGGTCGGCAACCTCAGCTTTTTATTACTTTGTGCTGTCATCAGGAAGACGCGCATCTTCTATATATTTCTACTCCCGTTCATGAATATAGTTCTTCTCACACATTCACCATGAAAAGAGCCACATTTATGAAATTTTGAAGTCTACTGGAACATAAAATAATACTGCCATGTATTTCATGGTACCAATCAATATTTAGTGGGGCAAATATGAATAAAGACCATAAAAAAACTTTAATTATGAATATTATAATGATTTCTTATATTTACGCGAACACTATACATGATTAAAACTACTTTTACGGATTTTATCGCGTTTATTTTTACTTTTTATTTACTTTTATTTTTAATTCCCGACGTTTCGGGCGCTTTCCAGCACCCATGGTCACGGGGGACTGAGGTGACTGACGTCCCGATGTCATTGTTAAACCCGGAGTACCTTCAGCTTTTTTAATTATTGTTTATGGTCCGATCTATGCAAAATGAGCTGACTATGTCCTGAGGTCTTGCAGTGGTATGCTTGGGTTTAGTTTTAATTTTATTGATTATAGGATCCCAAGCAGGTGGTAGTACCCAGTCTCCTTCTCTATTGAAATTAGGATGTTTTTTAATTTCAATAGCCTCACGTATCATCCTTGGTAGGAATCGGTGTTCTTTCGTGAGGATTTGTGGTCTATCAAATCTGATGTAATGGTTGGGTCCGTCTAGGATATGATCACAAAATTAATTATGAATATTATGTAAATAATGCACTTCTTATACCAGGGTAATTTTCCCTTCATTAAGACACATTGGAAGACATGACTGATTTAAAAAGATGTTGCTAGACATATGATATTAATGCAATTCTGATAAACTCACTTATGTCTTTCTGTAGCATATTATATTTCCAAATTTCATTACACTTCCTATGTCCAATATAGACATAGACACCGAGATGTCTCTAAAAGTGATTCAATTCTGCTGATTTTAGTACAAAATAGTATTATTGATATTTCTAAATTAAAGCCCACTCGAGCGAAGCCACAAATAAAAAGCTAGTCTGAAATATTTTTAGATGGCAATATAACTGCTTCATATGAATTAAATGTCACAGCCAGACCAACAAGGAAAAACAATATTAAAGGTGAGAGTTTTTGTAATGTAACAGTTTGATTCCCCTATTAAGATATTGCAAAAAACTGTGGAGGTCAGGACAAATCCTCTTTTCAATTAAAGAGACCTATGTCAGTGCTGTTACTAACACAAAACTTGTTACAAAACAGATTTAACATGTTAAAATTAACTTGCATGTTATCCTTATCGACATTCATTAGAGAGTACAGAAGTTTTTTTATATATAAATCTCTGTGCCATCTTTATGTATATAAAGTTCTAACATAACTGTTATTAAATAAGTTAAAGTTTATAAAATGTAAGTATGTTATTTGTTTTTATCATCAAAATGATTCACCATTAAAAAGAAAAAAAAGTGATAAAAAGAAGTACATAAAAGTTCTTAGCATGAAGTTGACTTTAGCTACAATTTTGTAATTGTCTTTAGACAGAAAGATTAAAATGTATGAAAGAAAAGAAAAAGACTATTTTATTATATTGCACTAAAAATGGTAGCATCAATTGCACATTACTTTTATCTTTATTATGCCATAGATTCCTATCATTACAATACTAGTGTATGCCGACTTACAGCAATGAAATAGGTTACATACATACCTTCTTAGCAAATTTCATCTCCATTGTGAGTTTCAGTGGTGCATGAAGACCTTGAATATTACGCAGCATTGTCATATTCATTTTTTCTTCATTTAGGTGATACTGTAATAATCATAGTAGTCTTATGGCTTTACTGAATACAACTGAAGTTTTATAAAAGTAAATTACACCACCTACATTGCAGAAGCCTTCTTTCATTGTTTTTTTTTAAATTTATTTATAACAAGTGTTACATTTACTTAACTTGCAAAAACTGTGAAGTTTTTCTGCAAGTTACAGTCTCACATAATATAAAGCAATAATACAATAATCTAATCGATGGTTGTTAAAAACAGTTACAATAATATTAAGTACATACATGTTTTAAATGAAAAATTGCAACCCACTTTTAACTGTAAATTACTGCAGGCTGTATTACCAGAAAATCGGTTTCCATGAGCTTGCAAGTGTGAGAGATACAATTATATTGTTCTTACAAGCATATTAAGTTTTGCAGCATAGATGACCCCACCACATAGGCCTAATAGGTTGGGCGAAATAATATAAAATTTCAGATTTTAAGATATTTTAAAAATGAATTTAAATGAATTAATATTTCATAAAGGACAATTATATTTAGTGTTAACTTACATTTCGTTCGGAGGCTTCTAGAGGATGTGACATGCCTAATTTTGGTTTTGTAGTCCCAAGACCCTCCACAAATGGGTTGGGAATTCCAAACGGTCCATCCTGAACCTTAATGTCGCTTGCTGGTTGAGGTTTAACTTTAAGTGGCGGTAACCCAAAACTCTGAAAAGAATATAGGTTGTTTTAGTATTACGTTCAGTTTTACTAATTGTACTGCTATTCATATTTTTATTAAAAATTAAAAGTACAGACCATTTTTAATCCGGTAGGGTCTTAGACGTAAACTAATCTAAAATTTTTGTCTACTTAATTTTTATTTTAAAATACCTATACAATTTTCTCTTAGAAATGCGGTATTCAGTATTGATATTTGCAAGTTAATTTGTCAAATCACCTTTATAGCAGTGTTACCAATTTATTTTCCAAGAATCTGCAAATACTAAAATAAATCTACAAAAAGTGCTTTATATTAATAATAATTTTTATTAATATATTCTAAAATCCTGCAGCATTTTGTATGTAACGTAAATAAATCGAGAAATTACTTTCAAATTTAATTGCTCCTCATCATAACTTATGTCATTCAAAATTATAACAATTTTCCAAAACTTTATACACTTTCTTGTACTTGTAATGGTAGAGCTCATGCTAACAAAAGATTTCTACTTTTTTTCAAGTTTATCTGTGATCGGTGATAAAATCTTTCACCTGCCTCGAGTAAGTGATATCTATAAATAAACATTGCTTTAGCAAAATTACAATAATTTGGGAACTTCACTATTATTGGTTTTATCAATATTATCCCAAATGGTATCCATCCAAAACAAAAACAATTGTATTTAAATAAAGGAATAAAAACGCAGGAAGTATTTCTACAAAGAATTAAAGATAAACTATTAGGAGAATTTTTAGCGCAGCACACTGTGGTAAATAAAGTCACCAAAAGAGACATAATTTATTCTCTGTTACGTAAATCATGATATAATATAATGACCGGGGATGCATGTGATAAAACTGCTATATTATGTCAATTTAATATCGAAAAATTTTCTAGACTAGCAGTTTACAGCTAAATCTTAACTAACCTTACTAAATAAATAATTTTTTGTTACTTTATTGCTGTAGTGGCTATAAGGTTTTCAGCCAAAACAGATTATAAAATAAAATACTTCAAAATATATTAAAGTTTTATATTGCGATGTTTTTGCGTGATTTTGACGACAGCTTCCAGTCGACATTTGATAATATCAGGCATATAGGCAAAAACGGTTATGTCGGTTTAACACCGACTAAAATTCCCGTGTTCCGCCTTTCTTGCATATTCTCCAGTCTGACCAGAGGGGGTTGTTCAAATCAAATATAAACTTGTCTTCTTCGGTGAACTTAATAGGTCAGGGAAAAAGTTTCTTCGTTTTTTATATACTGACACAGTTTTTTTTTCAAAGTTTTATTACATTAACTACTACTACTAAACTAAACTAACTAACTAAATCTAGTCCAGTTTAATCCCCAGAAGACAGAAATTTGCGCGTTTACCACTTAAGAGACCCCTTTTGTCGTATATCCTCTGTTCAAAGGCACTCCCCTCGGTGCCTCAGACAGTATCAGAATCCTCGGCGTCGACATGTCGAGCGACGTGCAGTTTCGTAGTCACTTAGAAGAGAAAGCCAAATTGGTCTCTAAAAAGCTTGGTGTTCTCAGCAGGTGTATTTCATGCTGGCACACCGCCTGCAACTTTTAAGGCCCAGGTTTGGCCACACATGGAATACTGTTCCCATCTCTGGGCTGGGGCTCCCTAGTGCTCCTTACATTTGATCTCATTCAGAGCAGAGCGGTTCGACTCGTCGACGACCGAGTTCTTTCTGACCGATTTGAGTCAATGGCACTGCGGAGAGATGTTGCATCGTTCAGCATTTTCATCATCTACCACGGGGAGTGCTCTGATGAATTGTTTTGACTAATTGCAGCTTCTCAATTTCACCATCATCATCATCACCATCACCGCACGTCGATATACCATTCATACTATCTGAATGATTGGCGGTCCACCACTTTGCGATTTAGAACTTTTCTTCCACGCACAACTTTCTTGTGGGATCGACTACCACCAGTGATTTTTCTGGACCCATACGACTTAGAAACTTTCAAGAAAAGAGCGTCCTCTTTTTTAAAAGGCTCGCAACGTATCTGGGATTCCCCTGGTGTTGTTCATGTTCACGAGCGGCGGGAGTCATAGTTAAGATGTGGATTGCATTTATGATGATGATCATAATTGATGATTGTGGGCTTGATCATCATAAAAGCAGCACATTCTGATGTATTATTACAAAATAAGTACGTATTATGCTGGTGTATTTAAATTTTAGCAAATCTACCAAACAGAAACAAATCCGATTTTATTAGAGTTGGTAACTTGTTAAACAAGGATTGAACTATGTAAATTAATTACCCATCGTTTGTTCAATATTGAAAGAACAATAAATATATTAAATAATCAATTTTCTAACTTTTTCTTTTCAAAAACTTTAGTCTGCTCCTCCATACACGATCCATTATTACTTTAATTCCACACCATAACATACTCTTACAGTCTATCAAATATCCTCTGCTAAAAACAGGTTTCCTCCATAGTTGCTATGCTTGGCAAGCGTTTTGGAAGTTTTTTAACTCTTTCATACACACGATTAAAGTTATTCGCCTATTAGAGTCGGAGTGGACTCCGCTGCATCACCACTTGCAATCGCAAAATCCATTGAAGGTCATTGTCTACCCGTTCCACGACTACATAACGATGAGCTTGCCCAGGATTCTGAGGAGGACTAAGCGGCACAATCGTTTCCGATCTCGGCGGAACAACAATCTGCTTAAGGCTCTACACATTCCACAGAAATCTAAATAATAAGGCAATAGAAATGTCTTCTACTGTCTTTTACTCGTAATATCAGGACGCGTGTCGCCGGTTCGCAGCTCTCACACATAGACAAGCAATAAATTCACAATTATGCCTACACATGTATCTTTTCGTTAAGGAATATTTTATAAAAACGCAATTTCTCAGGAGGCGTAGCCGCTCGGTCCAATAATTAACGTGTGCGAAAAACAGAGAATGACATTGCGCGTCACTCTCACTTGGGCATAGTGCAGCGCAACGTACGTTTCGATGACTTTCTATTAAGCTTCGTTGATCGTCCAGGAGTCTCACACCAAGATATAACTAATGAACTGAAAATGTCTCAGTTTTAGTCTTATCTTTAGCTTTTAGATGCGAATTCGAGGAAAGGGGATATAATAAAACGTTAAGGATAAGTATATCCATTTATTTTAATATTCGGATCTTTTGGAAACCAGGAATAATAGCATTTTATTAAATAAATAGATGTATAAGTAAAATAAATACAACATTATACAAACAACAAATAAATAAATTATATATGTATGGGTGACATATTTATAATTTTTATTAGTTTTAAAGATCTGTAACTGACTTCCTGTTGTTCGTTATTTTTAAGTTCTTTCAGATTGAATTTAGTCTACTATCCTTACAATATAATTACTTATCCTTACAATATATTAAAATTGCATAAAAATTAAGTAGTAAGTAGGTAATTTACAAGTACGAAAAAACAGATAATCGCTGATAAACGGCTAACGGTATAAAATATTTAGAAAGAAAAAAAAAATAGAGAAGGTGTAAATAAATATTTAACGAAAAATCATATTTCATTCCCATTTCGGTAAAACTAGGCAAGCCAAACGTAATAAATTGTCGATATAAATAGTAGTGTCACGTAACTGACTCGCGTTCGACTCCTGCGGCCGTGTTCTAGGAAATTTACGTACGCAACAATTTTGTTTATTGCCCATACTATAAATTCATCGCTGCTTTTAGCTGTCGTACTCGTAGATATGAACTAGCTTAAGAATCAATGCATTTTGAAATGTGAAAACAATTACATTTTCGGAGACAATCGTAGTACTGGAGGTGAATAATTTTATTTAAGTATATTTAATTAAAAACAACATTATTTAAAACACTAAGTACTCATTTATGAAACGTTATCCCTTTATTAGAAAATTTGCGAGTTATGGAAGAATTTCCGCAGTTGGATATCCTTCAAAACATCATTTTTACGTCTCTGCGTCTGAAATAAAACTAGTGACCGAAACAAACGCTCTCCGCGCGCTTGTGGCCTACGAGTCACATGTTCGGCGACAAGGTCACGCGCTTTTACGAATTCTATTGCCTAATTATTTAGATTTCTGTGACACATTCCCTGGTAATGCACCTTTGAAAAAAGTTTGTCTCTTGTCCACATTTCAAAACACCTTGCTTAACGTCGATCTCACAACAATTCTTCCTCCTAAGCCTAACTAAATAAGCCCAACTTATAAGCCCTGCCTTATAAAGGTCCTGATTTGTAAAGGTTAAAACTTTATGGGTTTTTCTTTTTATGCCAGCTTTACATAGATTTTCCAATTCTCCACCGGAAACTTAACTTAGATGTTAAGTAGAGAGATCCGCACGTGTATGCTTTAACCGAGTTCGGCGAAGAAAGCGGTAAAGCCGTCATATCATGAATAGTTACCGAGTTCATCAACTCGCATGAACTGGCTTGCTACACTTCAGACTGTTTTACATATTTTGATGTTTAAATACCAAGTCAAGTTTGTTGTTCAAAACAGTTCGTTACGAATCAAGCGAAAGCTTGGAGTTAGCGATTGTGTAGCGCCACCATTGAATTATTAGTTACAAAGTTGAAAGAGAAAAGTTGCATTAATGTGAAAGGAGTTTCTACTTAAACTTTACCTGAAACTTGAAGTTTTTGACATATGTTATTTATAATATGTTTACATTGGTTCTTAATTTTGTGATTTAATTAAATAATAATCACGATATTTTATCAATTTTTTACCAAGTTTAAGAATTAAAAAAGTGCTAATCATGGCTACCATGAAAAGTGTGGAAAAGGAAGTGGTTAGTTAATATTTTTTGGAAAATAATCTATATATTCCCTGGTGTTGCAGTTGTTCATGGGCGGCGGTAGTCACTCACCATCAGGTGAGCCGTATCTCGTTTGCCCCTTTTCATATAAAAAGATACATGCATCCCTATAAATCTACTTAAGCTGTAGTGAGCTAATGTCTGTGAACTGTTTGATAACTAAAAGATAAAGACGACGTTATTTAAAATATATTGTCTGGTGGTGAGAAGAGACATATGCCAACTTTCTTTTAAATCCAAACTACCCCCATGC